GAAAACAGGCCCTATTCAAGCATTTTATGCCACAGAATGAAAAATTTGGGGGAGTTATGGACACAGTTGAGAATGTAATAGCCAGGCTCAGTGGCTCAGCCTGTAATCCCGCGCTTTAGGAGGCTGAGGTGAGTGGATTGCCTGAGGCTACGGGTTCGAGACCCGCCTGGGCAACTTGGTGAGACCTCATCTCTACAATAAATAAAAAAAAAAAATCAGTCGGGCGTGGTAGCGCATGCCTGTAATTCCGGCTACTCGGAAGGCTGAGGCAGAAGGATCACCGGAGCCCAGCAGGTAAAGGCTGCGGTGGCCGGGAGTGGCCATGACACTCCAGTCTGGGTGACAGAGTGTGACTCCAACTCAAAAAAAAAAAAAGAGAATGTAATAAATCAAAGCACCGTTTTCTGCATGTGGCTTCAGGGGCTCAGGGATCCCAGATTATGAACCCTGGGACCAAGACACAGAGGTTCAATTTGTCAGTGGCAGGAAGCTGGACCTCAGGTGGACCAGCAGCCTATGCAACGGAGCCAGCCCTGAAGGAGCATTTCATTGGGTCAAAGGGGAGGCCTCAGCCCAAAAAAGGCCCATGGAGGAAAAGAGGCCTTCCTCAGGGTTTGCAGACAACAGCACATGTAAGACATCCCACAGCATGACACGGCAGCAGGTTCATGACAGCAGAGCTCCCAGTGTGAGTTAGTTTCCAGAAAGAGTTTCTGGAATGAGTTCCAGAATGAGTTTTGGAGGGAATGCTACCTTACCCTGCTCTGTCAGGCCATGGCTCAACTCCATGGTCACTGCAAGACACCAGGCGCCAAGAACAAGTAATAAGAGGCTTTGACCCACACCAAGCTGTGGGAGAGACAGCAGAGGGGAGGAGCTCTGGGGGCCCCCAGGCCTGGAACCCACCAACATGTCACAGGCACCAGCTTCTCTGAGACCCCCTTGGCCCACACTGGCTCGTTCATTCAACTGATATTCCCTGTGTACTTAGCACGTGCAGGCTGTGCACTCAGTAATGGGCATTGCAGAGACAGAGCCCAGCCTCACAGAGCCCACGTGCTAGGATGGGGGCTGAACAAGCAAAGCCCATGGCATTGGGGACAGTGTTGTGGAAGACAGGCCAGGCAAAGGGAAGTGGCCACATGTTGATGCAGGGTGGCTGGACGACTTCCTGGACACAGTAATGATTTAAACACAGTTGAATCGTACACACATCCTACAAGTGGTGAGAGTTTGGCAGGGAAATGGCTGATGTGTGTGAACAGCAGTGAAGAGGAAGAAGGTCTGAGGAAAAAGTGAGTCTGGGCGTCATGGTCAGGCCATACAGGGCCACAGGTCTCAGGAGGATGTGCCATTGAGCCCCTGTGGAAGCCCCTGGAGGGGTTTGAGCAACAAATAACATTATCCAACTTACACTTGAGCCTGGACCTGGGGCTGTGTGAAGAGACTAGAAAAAGGGCAAAGGTGCCAGGGAGACCATTGGGAGGCTGAGCCCAGGCAAGACAACACAGTGGACCTCTGGCAGAGATGAGGGAGATGCAGAACCACAAGTCTGCCACAAGGAGGAGTCGAGAGGACTTCAGGGTCACCTGGATGTCAGCATGAGTCCACGGGGTGGGGGGAGGGGGGTGTCACAGTGGTTCCAGGCCGCAGGATGCTCAGAGGTCCCTTTTGCAAAAGAGGGGAGTCGTCTCGATTTGAGGCACAGATCGAGATCTGAGATCTGAAGACATAAAGCCTGCAGTGTCCCCCAGCCCCCAGGTGGATACCCTGAGCCCATAGACACTGCAGAGCTCAGGACCACCAATTGGAGGGACAAACCTGGAACTCATTGGGGTTAGAGATGGTGTTTAAGGATGGGCACCCTGCTTACCAACTCTTAGAATCAGGCACCACTGGGGGGATGGGGACACCCCAGGGTATAGACAGATGCCAGCACTATCCCAAACAGACAAAATTAGACTGTCTAATGACTGAGCCATTGATGGAGAAGTGGGGAGAGAGACAGCAGTCAGAAGTAACAGAAGCAAGTGGCAACGGTGTCGGAGCCCAAGTGCACAGTGTTGTCATGGAAGCCAGTGATGAGGGACTTTGATCTGACCAAGAAGGAACCAGGGCAGGGACAGGCGAGGGGTTTGCCCAGGGCCACAGGGCAGGTTCCGGGTCCAAGATAGCCAGGCTGGTTCCCATAGCAGGTATCGTATGAGGCCGTGAGTGGGCCCAGCTGCAGAGGGCCTGGGGTAAGGGGGGATGGGGTGAAATGCGTTGTCCCAACTTGGGCTCAGCAAGAAGAGAAACAAGGTCTCCATCAGGAATGGCTAAGCAGGTTGAAGGAGGCCCTAAAGATGTGCCCCGTCCAAATCCCCAGGACCTGTGAATGTGACCTCATTTGGAAAATGGGTCTCTGTAGATGTAATTACGTTAAGGATCTCCAGTTGAGGAGATCATCCGGATTATCCAGATGGGCCTTGACTCCAGTGACGAGTGTCCTTCTAAGAAAGGAGAGGATGGAGGATGAGAGGAAGGTCATGTATCTGCAGAGGCAGAGATGGGAGGAACACAGCCTCAAGCCACAGAACACCCGAGCCATGGAAGCTGGAAGGACATTCCCCTGGAGCCTCTGGAGGGAGCTCAGCCCCACCTATAACTCCAATTGGGATTTCTGGCTTCCAGAACTGTGAGAGAAATTTCTTCTGTTATCATAAGCCACCCAGTTGGTGACACTGTGTCACAGCAGCTGCAGGGGACTAACAGGGTTGGCCACAATAGAGTAGCTGAGAAGGCGGCAGTGTCCCGTTTTGGGGGCTCTGGGAAGGGACTGAGGGGAAAACCGAGGCTCCCACTAGACACGCCCAGCGTCATCCCCAATATGGAAAATGCATGTCAGTGATATTCCAGCCACAGTCTCCAGGGCTGGCCTGGGACTCTGTCCTTCTCCATGTTTAAAAAATGACAATATCATGCCTTTACTGCCAGGAGCTGGGACATCACATCTACATTGCCTAACAATGCCCTGAATGGACAACCAATCCGGGAGCCCTTTCTTGGCCGACGGTTTCCTTCCTCCCTGTAGCTTGTGAGGACAGTGAATGCTCCCGAGCTCACCCGATGCCGGGCCTATGCTAAGGGCTAAAATGGATTAAATCCACCCAATCCTTAGTGAGTGGAGAGCTGAAGCCAGCAGCCTGGACTCAAATTCCAGCCCAGCACCAACTAGCTGTGTGGCAGTGGTCAGTCACATGCCCTCTCTGTGCCTCTGTTTTCTCATCTATGAAATAAGGAAAGTGATGTCTCCAACCTCATGGGGCTGCTGTGAGGATGAAAGGTTTCTTGTCACAACCTTAGAGAGTGTCCAGGACACAAACACCCAATAAAGAGAGGTGGCTACTGTCATGGTCAATGTCTAAGAGGAAATAGTTTCTCTCTCTGTCTCAGCAATAAAGAATCGTATCCCAGAGTGAGTAAGGCATTTATATTAGGTCACACACCAAACAAGGGGACAGTCTAGGCCAGTGGTTCTCACCAGGGGGTGATTCTTCCCCCTGGGGGACATCTGGCAACGTCTAGAGACATTTTCCATTGTCGAAGTTAAAGGGGGAGGGTATTAGTAGCATCCAGTGGAGAGCGGACAGGGATGTTACAAGGTATCCTAAAATGTCCTTGACAGTTCCTTTCACAGCACAGAATCACCTGGCCTCAAATGTCACTAGTGCCAAAATTGAAGGACCCTGCTCTGGTCTGGCCCATGATCCCAGATCACACCAGCTATTCTCAGAAGTGACCTACATGACCCCCTCCTGCTGGAGGCTGATATGTGTTTAAGGACAAGGGTTCCATGGCCTAATCAGTTTAGGGAACACCACAGGCTCCAGCCTCTTCAGAGATAGCCAGTGACCTTTGGCCCATGATTGGCTCTGAGCTTCCACCACAAAGACATGGGCCCAACTGTGGAAGTCTGCCTCTTCCAAACACGAGGGGTGATGGTGCCACCTTCAGATTTTGTATCTACACACTCAGCAATGCTTGACTGGGCAGATAGAAAGACCCAGGGACACGCAAGACAACCAGGAAGGAAGGCTGTGAAACCCGGGGCTGCTGGTCTGTCCACGTGGGCACAGCACCCACACCTTCCACCAGATATCCCAGGAAAACACAAGCCAGAGCCCCACCCACAACCATGACCATAGCCACAAGACACACCAGAGAGAAAGCAACGCTTCCAGATTCCTCCCTGGAAGGCCAGCTGCCAAGTTCCCGCTAAACACTCCTGGGGTGATAGGAGAGCCCCTCACAGCCTGCACCCAATGGGAAGAAAACCCCATGATTCCTCCTCCTGGCCAACGCCTCCTCCTCCCTTCAACCACGGGGCAGTCGATCCCTGGTCCTCACCTCCCTGACCTTGAACAACTATTCTGACCCTGAACACACTGTGAGGCCATACATGAAGCCGGGCTCCAAGGACTTGTGAGAGTGTCTAGACCCACACCAGCACATACCTATCCCAGTCATGTGGTTTCCGAGAGGACCATTTGGGATCAAATCATGCAGTCTCTCTCCTCCTCTTTCTTTCTTCTCTCTCTCTCTCTCTCTTGCCTTTCCTTTCATCTCATCTTGATTTTTTTAAAATAATTTTTTCCATAACTTCCAAACACCAGACATCCATACACGACCTGTGTATTTTTTTCCACATCATCCTCAGGGGTGACATTCTCACAGTCACTTGCTACACTCTTACGACTTTTCAAATACACATGAAGACTCACATACAGCTCCCAAAATAAAACAAGTCGGCCTGGCGCCTGCTAAGTCCCTACTCCGAGGCAGGCTGTGTGCACACCCAGCACTTTTTAAGGAAGATTCACTTGCAGACAATGAGTCTCCCCTCCTGCTTCTCTCCAGATGCAGCCCCGTCCCTGATGCATAAGCTCTGTTCCCCCATCCCATGGTGACACCAGACCTGTGGCCAACATTCTCATCCAGAACGACCTGCCCATCCTCACCAGAGATGATGGAGTCATTGAGTGCCTCTTCATCCTGGTACAGAAGCAAGTCGTCCTTGAGCTCAGAGTTCAGGATCAAGTTCTCCTTGTTCTCCTCGGACTCCTTAGCTGTGGTCCGCTTGTTCTCTGAAGCACCATCAAAGCTCCACGCCTCCTCCCTCTCCTTGCCCTGCTCCATGCTGGATGTCCTGGACAGACGGACGTCCACCCGCTTCTTTGGAGATGCTTTGCTTTCCCTTCCTTGAAAACTAAACCGGGAAGATAGCTCAGGTTATATGCTGTTCCCTTACCCAGAAACCCTGCAAAATTGACTTTAAGGCCTTTATTTGTTTTTTGGAGACATGTCTTGTTTTATAACCTAGGCAGAAGTGCAGGGACACAACCATGGTTTACTGCAGCCTTGAGCTCTTGGGCTTAGGTGCCCTTCCACCTCAGCTTTTTGAGTAACTGGAACTACAGGCACACATCAGCATGCCTGGCTAATTTTTTGACTTTTTGTAGAGACAAGGTCTTGTTATGTTGCCCAGGCTGATCTCAAACTCCTGGGCTCAAGCAATCTTCCTGTCTTGGCCTCCCAAAGTGCTGGGATTACAGTTGTGAGCCACCATGTCCTGCTGCCTTGAAGACTTTTAATGACTATACAAAGGTGACCTGAGAACATGTGGTTTCTCAGCTTCTGTCCTGGCCACACTGGAAGAACAGGGCTTCAAGTCAAGGCAAATGGCTATTTAGAATGTACGGCTTTGAAAACACAGAGGTACATGCCATAAAACCTGCCAGAGCATAGCACAACCACCACTCAGACCTTATACTTCATGAGAACTGAGAAGGGCATGTTGTTTGTCTAATATTATGTGAAACTGTGTGTGTATTCCACTAACTATATCACCCTCAACAATTCCCTTTTTCTTCAGTCTGGGAACCCAAATGACCCAGGACAGAAGAACAAGAAGCCACAGGCCCAGCTGCCTTGTGTCCTGCCTTGAGAGTCCTGGGACAAAATAAAGCAACCACTTCTGGCTCAGTCATCTCCTGGGATGCCTCCACTCTCCCCTGCCCCCACTGGTCTGGCGAGGCTCTTGCAGGGGGTTTTGTGGCCGGGTTCCCATGTTGCACACATTCTGCCCAGTTCCTCTGGAATGTGGAAACCAAGGCCAGCTGTGTGAGCTGCAGAGCCCACTGCAGGATAAAAGTGTGGGTTCCTCGTTAAAAAAGTATTAAGAATGCCAAGATAGAGACAGCAGAACTCAAGCCCAGCCAGGTCTGGGGCAGCTACACGGGTGAGGATTCTGAGGGCTCAGTACTCCTCCGTGGGCAGGGCCTCACCTGTCCTGGCGATGCTTCGTGGCCAGTGCCCTGTGCAGCTCCTCAATGACGCGGCTAGGCGGCAGCGGCCGGTGGACTGTGGTAAGATGTGGGGATCCCGTGGGTGTGGAGAGCTGTCCTCGGAGAGGAGGGTCGGAGCTCTTCATGCTGGATCCTTGGAAGAGTGCAGCTTGGCCTGGAGAATGGGGGGAACCAGAAAGGACATCAGTCTTCAGGAACAGGGACCAAAATCCTTGCAGAGGTATGAGCCCATGAGCAGGGAGGACACACCCCATGCAGCTCTCAGTCAGGAGGTCCTTGCCACCACCAAGATGCTAGAACAGGAACTGCTGTTTCCTGGCTAGAGACTGGGGCATGTCTCTGTCCTACAAGGGGCTGAGCCCTGCCGATGTCAGCACCAGTGGCCTCCCTGCAAGGCCACAGGTTTAGACAAGCCTCCTTCCTGCTGCCTCCTGAAGGCACTCTTTCTGCTTGTGGAACCCAGAAGAATTTAAAAATTTTCCAACTCTGCAACCATCCTTCAGGCCACAGCCAGGTCTCGGCCGTCCCTGGGCCTCTGTCCATACTGCCTGCAGTCTTCTCCCTGCACACCCACGGGGGAATCTCACTAGAAGGTGAATCCAATCACCTCTCTCATTTTCCTTAGGATGCGATTAGAGCCCATGGCCCTATCCCAAGCCCCTTGGGGTGACCCAGCTTGGGCCTTGGCTGCATCTCCATCCCCCCAACTTCCTTACTCCAGCACACAAACATCTTTCCAGCTCTTGGAGGCACAGGATGTTCTCCTTTGCACAGGCTGGTCCCTCTGCCTGAAATATTCTTCCTCTCTTCTGCCATAATCTCGCTTCCTCAGAGAGGCCTTTTGTGAATCCCACCCTTGTTGAGAGCCCCGACATATATACAAAGGCAGCTTGAGGCTGTATGACTTCTTGGTTTCTGTCCTGGACACACTGGAAGAGCAAGGTTCCATGGGACCTGAGGCTGCCCTTACCGCCATTCCTCCCACTAGGACTGGGCCGTGTTGACAGGTCCATCTTTCTCAGCTACTTGGAGCTTTCTGGGCAGGCCTGTGCTCTGCTCCTTCCTGGATATTCCCCAGGCTTGGCCTCAGAATGCATGCAGTAAAATGCACATAAAATGGATCTGAAGGTGACTCAAAACAGACTTGCTCACTCAAATCTAAAACAGAGGTCAGTCGGCCATTCTTTAACAACAGTCTCCTACATGTGCTCCAAAGCCAGCAGGGCATGCAGGCTTCGTCTCACACAGACTTGGTCTCCATCTGCCACTTCCCAATGTGCCAGACCCTGAGCACATCACGCAAGCTCTCAAAATCTCAGCCTCCTTGTCTGTAAAATGGACCATCAGCTCCCCTGGGGCTGCACTACAGGAACTGGCAGCCCTCAGGTGGTCAGCACAGTCTCCCATTTACGCCTTCTGGGACAAGCACAGCACCTCCCTTTACCCCCAGCTGGAGGATAAAGAGCTCTAAGCCAGCCTCACTTCCTAAAACCCAAAGACAAACTGTTCAAATCCAGTCCTGCAAGGTAGACAATGTCAACAAAACATGTAACTCAGAGCCACAGGGAAGCCAGCATCTCCTGGAGGATTTGTTACTTTGCTTTCTCCATGAGGACCTGCTTTTGCCAAACATGGCCAGGCCACGGGGCACAGCACAGGCCCTGCCCTCAATGGTGATGGGCAGAGCCAGGCAGGGAGGGACCTGGCAGACAGAAAGAGAACAGGATGACTCTGGGAGACAGAGAGCATGAGAAAGCACAAACACGAGAGAAAGAATGAGAGGGAGCAGGGGAGATGGAGACGGGGGAGCCATGCAGATGTGGACGTGGGCTCGGCACAGGGGATGGGAGGCGGTGGCAGGTGTGGCACAGGGAGCTCAGGAGAGGCTTCTCTGCAGATGGGACATCTGAGCTGAGACCTGAGGGATGAGAAGGTGTTGGCCAGGTTGGGCAAGACAGGCCAAGGGTGTCAACCAGAGGCACCCTAGCTTACACACACCCCCTTGGCCTGTCCCTCTCAGCCTTAGCCCTTCCAGAGGCTGCTCATGACAGTGAACTCCTCCTGAACACCTGTGACTCTGTGTCACCCCAGTCCCTGTCTCTAACCATCATGGCCCCAGTCCCACAAGGAAGGTAGAACTAACCTCATTGTACTAATAGGGAAACTGAGGCAACATGGATTGCCTGCACTCACTTGGCTTGGCAGAGCTGGGATTCCAACCAGGATCTAGCGCTATGCCACTGTCAATGGTGTCAAAGAGCACTTCCCACTTGCCCTGTGCTGGGTGCACTGCCTGGCATGCCCCATCTGCTTGACCAGGAGACCTCTTGTCAGGCCCACTTCTCAGACAAGGAGGCTGAGGTTCAGAAGTTGACTCAAGAGAGAGGCGCCAGAATATGAAGGCCTGGGACTGGCACCTGGCACACTCCTCCAGTAACAGGTGACTGAGTCTGCGGAACCCCTATAGCCCAGAGCCAACTGTCGCCAGCTGGACCAGGGCAGGGGACACTCTGTGGTGAGGGTGACACAGTCTCCAGGGTCCAGGAAGGTGATATACGAGAAGTCCAAGGGCCTCAGGCAATTTGAATCATTGGGGGTGGGGGAGGGGACCACAGGACAGAAGAGCACCTGCCATCCTTACAGGGCAGCTGTGATTCAGTGGGAGGTCCCAGACAAGGCTTTCTAAGAAAGACCTGAGATGAGGCCTCTGAAACAGGTAGTGGGCCCTCTCCAGACACCAGATCTGCCATGCCTTGACCTTGGTCTCCCAGCCTCCAGAACAGTGAGGAGTGAACTACTGTTTTTATAAGCCACCCAGCCTTGTGGCATTTTGCTGCAGCAGCCAGCCCAAGGATACTAAGACATCTGTGGCCCCAACTCAGGCAGAAAAGCACCTGGGGTAGAGACTCGGTATGCCCATGGCCCCTCCTGTCCTAGGTTAAGCCCAGGTGAGGTGGCCGTCTCCTCTGTTGCCTGCTGCCTACTGTTCACATGCTGAAGCAAACACTTCCCCCAAAGGCAGAAAAAGAAGAGGCCAGAAAATTAAAACAAAGTCACAAAATTGTAATCTCAGCATTGAGAAACCTAGACTGAAGCCCAAAACTCAACACTCCCCTCCATCCCCACTGCCCATCCAGTCCCCATATTAACCAGTGACGTGTCAGAACATGTCTCCTGACAAATTCCTCAAAACAGAAGGAAGGTCGGGCTCAGTGGCTCAGCCTGTAATTCTAGCACTTTGGGAGGCTGCAGCAAGTGGATTGCCTGAGACCTCGGATTCAAGATCAGCCTGGACAACTTGGCAAGACCTCATCTTTACAATAAAATTAAAAATTGGCTGGACATGGTAGTACATGCCTGTAGTTCCAGCTACTTGGAAGGCTGAGGCGGAAGGATCACCGAAGCCCAGCAGGTCGATGCTAGGTGACCATGAGCGTGCCACAGTACTTCAGCCTGGGCAACGGAATGAGACTCCAACTCAAAACAAAACAAAACAAAAAAACTGAAGGAAGGTGGAGGGTGGAAGTCAAGGTGCCCACGGCTAGGTTGGCGACAGAACACCAGAGTTTAGGAGAGAGGGGAGGAGTCGTAGTAAGACCTGTGCAGGCTTAGGTCTGACCTTTCCAAGCACAGGAAGGCAGAAGCTCTTGGGGCTTCTAAGTGACACTGAGGTTCAGGAACAAATGGTATATTAGCCAGGATACACCAAGGTGGGCAGTGACTAAGCAAATGGATTTTACATTGTCTCAGGTTTCAGTGAAGGAATGATCACAAAGATAATGACAAAATACTGCAGTTTTGCCTCAAAATTTTTACTCTAATTTATATGGCCATGTTATCCAAAGATTGAATATTTGGACTTATTTCCAGGTATGCAGAGACATGAAGAAGGAAGAGAGCACTCAGTCCATTCATGCGTACATCACACAATCACACGTACTTGCTAAGCACCCTCTGTATACCTAGTATTATGCCCGCTCTCAGATTTGATGATGAACGCAGAGGCATGCCAGCTCTCACAGGGCAACTGTGGATGGGCAGGGGTAGACTAACAACCCTACAGAAAAGGTGTATGTGGCTCCTTGGGCTGCTCTAACAAGTGACTATACTCTGGGCAGGCTCAAACAACAGATCAACTTTTACAGCTCTGAAGGCCACAAGTCCAAAGTCAAGGTGTCAGCAGGACTGGTTCCTTCTGGGACCATGTAGGAGAAATGCGCCAGGCCTGCTCCTAGCGCCTGTGGCTGTTGACGAACCTTAGTGTTCCTGTACTCCAAGATGCATCACTCCCGTCTCTGCTTCTGTCATCCCAGGGACCCTTAGTGTTTCCTTTCTGTCTCTCACAAGGACACTCTCTTGGATTTAGGGCTGGCCCTAATTCAGAATGAATCCATCTCCACCTTCAACTTACTGATGTCTGAAAAGACCCTTATTCCACATGAGGGCATGTTCTGAGAGTCCAGGTGGATATGAACTCTGGAGAGGATGCTATTCAACCCACTACACAAGGTGAAAAGACATGGTAATGCTGGAAGATGAGGTGCACAGTGCTGGGGTCAGGGGCCAAGGTGCCCCCCCGTCCGCCCAAGGGAGGAACAGCTTGAGCTGAGTTCCCGAGGACACAAAGGCAGTGACCAGACCAAGCAGGGAGAGAGAAGTTTCCCGAAGGGAGAGCAGCCCAGGGAAAGTCTAGCAGGCAATGTTCCTCCTCACTCATTCCTCCACCCACCCAGAGGCACATCCTCCCACATGCTGACCCCCATTCATGACCCACAGTCACCATAGCAACCCATCAAATCCAATCAATAACACCCACAGCCACATTAGAGAGGCCCAAGTGGTCTCTGGTTAAGAAGGCTGTTGAATTGAAGCACTTAATTTGCATTAGGCATAAGAGGGAGAATGCCCCCACAGAAAGATTTCCCCCCAAAAGGACACCCCAGCATGAACGTCCATCCCACAAGGGGTGACAAGCTCCCTGAAAGGTCTCTGGATGAGATGCCCAGGCTCTCTGGGTACCAGCAATAGATACCTGGGGTCACAGTTCACCATCCTGTAAAAACCAGAAGGAAATTCCCCGAGGATCAGGGAAGCTGATGGAGGAGGCGGCAGGATTGGGCAGGAGCCAAGGGATTTAGGCCCAGAACTGTGATCAAGTCTCAATCATCGGTGGGATGCTGAAACATGTTATTGGAGTTTCCTGGGCCTCAGTTTCCTCAACTATAAATGGGGCACATGATACCTCCCCTCAAGGGGCTCACCCGAGGATTCAGTGAATGGGCTGTGTGAATCTGGGCCTTCCTGGAGCATGTGGGAAGGTGCCTATCTGACAAAGGTAAGGAGTATTACTATCAGGGCGGTCAGGTGACAAGAGCAAAGTTGCTGTGTGCTGTCATCCTTCATGCCCATGACCTTCAAAGACAGCACATAAGGAGTGACTCTGAAAAGCAATGACCATGGTGAATAGTCTGTTTTTTCCCTGACAGCAGCAGCGTGTTCTGTTTCTAACTGTAAAACAATGAGAAATACCCAGGCTTGAAAAGTAATTATCTCTACTTGCAGGGAATATTTAGCCAGTATGACCCAAGTTACAGAAGTGTATGGCTTTAGGGGTTCTCATCCAGCTGTGTGCCCCCCTCTGACCACTAATGTCTGGTGTTTACTCCTGGCTCTGCCTGGCTGGATAAAGTGTACTGGACAGTAAATCAGCAAAACAGAGACCAGCAGAGATAGGGAAAGAGGGAGGAAAAAAAGGAGGGAGAGAGAGAGGGAAGAAGGGAAAGAGGAATGAAAAACAAGAAGGGGAGGAAGAAGGAGAAGAGAAGAAGGGATGGGGGAAGGAGAGAGAGATTGACTCTGAAAGAAGCAGAAATAAAAGGATAGACAGAGACAGACACATGAGCATCTAGATGGAGACAGAAAGACCCATCCTGGGGACTGGCCACATCTCCTGTGTTCAGGTTCTGGAAGATACTCCCTTTGAATCCTGCAAGCCCTGCTTGCTTGGGGGAGCTTAGGTGGTCTGTTCCTGACAACCACAGTTCCTTGCAAAGTGCTATGTCCCTGGGCCTTCCTAGAGCCCCAGTAAAGAAGCAAAGGGTGAGAACCAGCCAAAAATGGGGGCCCAATCAAAACTGGTTGAAGGTACAGATGGGTGGGTGGGTGGGTGGGAAAGAGAAAGGGGAGAGAATGAATAGATGCACAAAGACCTACCTGTGACGTTTTTTGTGGTTTTGGAGCTTGCCTTGGGTGGTGGAGTGGGCAGCAGTGGGGGGCTGGGGAGCTGGCCCACGGATCTCTCCAGAGGTCTGGGAGGACTGTCCAGGGAGTCAGACCCAGCTAAGGCTTGGGAGAGCTCATTGGTGGTGGGAAGGAGGCTGCCGGTATCTGTTTCTTCACCGCTGGATGCAGATGGCATCTTGGCTGTTTCAAAGGCAAAGCAGAGAGTTCACAAAACATGTCTCCTCTGACTGCAATGAAAGTAAGTGAGAAAAGCAAGAGGGCTTGGCAGGGTGGGATGGTGAGCAGAATACAGAGCAGTCACTTCACACATCGACTTGACCTCCTATGAGTCAAGCTCTCAATAAAACCATGAGGGGGAGGGAGGGAGGAAAGGGGAGAGGGGATGAGCATTTTAAGATCGTGGGTGATTCTGTTCCCTTTTCCACACCATAGGTGTGTGCCAAGGATCCTGCCTCCCCTGGAAGCTGCACACACCAAACCAGGTTTTGGAGTCAGACATACCAGACTCAAGTTGCCTCTTCACTTGCTCAAGTTACTAGACCTTTCTGTGCTGTCATTTACTCATGCATAACATTGATTTAATAATGGCCCCTCACAGGATTGTTTTATGGTTTAAACAAGAAGTGACAATAGTGTCATGCACCTATAGTCCCAGCTAACCCAGAAGGCTGAGGCAAGAGGATCACTTGAGCCCGGGAGTTTGAGTCTGACCTGGGCAACACAGTAAGACCCTGTCTCTTAAAATTTTTTTTTTAAGTGGCAATGAGATATGCTCCTGGAACATTGCAGACTCTCAAATCTAGCAGCTCTTGTTCTTACATGTCTGTTTTCAGCAGCCCTGACCTCTGGCATGCAGACTCAGATCTGGGGGGGTGATGGAGCAGGGAGGACTGAGCAGGCAAGGGTCAGCTGGCCAGAGTCATTGTCCCTGTCTCCATTTTCCAGCTGCTTGAACATGCTCCCTCCACCTCATTGATCCTGCCAACCTGCCCACCCCTCTTCTTTCTCCCAGTGCATTAACCCAATCCTTTCGTCTCCCCCGTCAGTTTTCACTGTCTGTCATTTCCACAACAATCTCACTGATATCCCCCAAATCTCTCCTGGCTTCCTTTCCATTTAACCCTGGAAAAATCCCATCTCTGGATGAAGCTGCTGCCTGCCTGCCCCTGCCCCTGCCAAGTGCCATGGGAGGAAGACCCTCATGGAGACACCTCAGGAAGGCCGCCCTGTGGGATTCATGACTCAACCTTCCTCCTGAAAGCACTCAGCATGATAGATCAAACCTTTCTGTTCCTTCCCAATCTCCAGCTTCCTACCTCTGCCTACTCCTAACATGCAGCTTCACCTAACCTTCAGGGGAAACTGGGGCCATCATATGGTGGCTCCTTGTGGATTCTGAGTCAATCACAAACTGCTATCCCCAACACACACACCTCTTTTCTCCCTCCCCTTCCATCCAAGAGAGACAGTCTGTGGGACTCATCACCTCATCCCCTGTCCTCCCGAGGTACCAGGCCTGTAAAAGATGCTGGGCAAACATCATCTATTACAACTTCCCAACCAAGAAGATACCAACACTCTCCCCTTGTACATCTTAGCGGGCAGCCTGGTGGAGCTTATCTTCAGGTCACTATGTTAGCTCCTGTGGGATTCATTCATCCATCAGGGAGGGTTTCTGGAGGACCAGTTCACCGCTGGTGCTGTGCGCAGTGCTGAAAATATGGTGGCATAAGGATAGGCCCCATCCCTGCCCTTAGGGGAACTTCCACTGAAAGGCCAAACACAAATACTGCATGCCCATGTATCCTATGAGCCATCATCAGTTTCTGTTCCTTTATTGACCCTGTTGGAAGTTTCAAACCCTCAGGTCTGGCCTTCCTAACTCCTGAAAAACAAAATCTCAGGAAGCAAATGCCCCCACCCTCACACACCTGCTATAGAGGGCAGAGTCAGCTCTGGCCTGAACAACCCCTGCAACCAGCACTGTGTTCTTCGGTCCTGCATGAATACCCACATGAAAAGTCTGTTTTTATTTTCCTCTTCTTCATCTTATTATTAAACTGTCCCCAAAGTGAAGTCTGTTAAAAGGAGCCTTTTTTTTTTTTTTAAGACTCCTGGGTTTTGAGACTGCCATTATATCCTCCAAATTGTAGCCTATAACTTCCAAGAATCTACAATTCAATTAGTTGTTTCACTTAATGAGCCTTTTCCCTGATAATACTACTAAAATAAACATTTAGTGGTTTTTAGGTAAAAAAACAGTTGTGAGGTTTCCTTGTTAAGCCAAGAGTAAGCACAAAAATGACTGTTTTCTCATAGACACCAGTCCTATGGTTCTGTTGGGCTTTCTGTTTTGTGTAAATCAGCACAGGGCAGTGGATGCCCTGATCCTCAGGACACCCCACATTCCAGAACCCATGCCCTCGGTAGCCAGGCTCATGGCTGGGAACACCAGGTATGGGGTCAGCTCTCGGGAGCCCACCAGGGTCTGTTTCCTCCTCTGAAGTTTCCCCCTGAAGATCCTTCCCCCCATTCAGATACTCACATACCTATTATTCTAACATAGTGTCTATGAAATATTCTGCTATTCTGAAGGCCTTTAAAGCAACCTTTGCATCCACATCCCACTTTGATAGTTTGGGTCTACAATGATGGCTTGTCTTTGATTGCTTCTGTGTGAAAGGGCCACACTTTCAGGGGAAGGGGCACCTGGCACCTTCCCAAAGCCATGATTTTGGCAGAGGGAGATGTCATGGGAATGGCTCACCTCACCTCAACCACACCTGTCTCCAGCATCCATCCCCTTCCTCTGTGTGTCTGACCCATTTCCAGAACAGTGACCTTAATCTCCATTTCTCAGTTTCCTCATCTCTACAAATATCTGGGTAAAGTACCTGGCCCTGCCCACCACAAAGGTCCATATGAGATTATGGAGGGGGGCATGTCTGGAGCTAGTTGGCACATCTGACTGCTCCCCTTTCAGGAACCTGGGAGTCTGGACAAGCTGGGCAGCATTTGAACCAGGTCACAGGTTTGCCTGGAGGTGTTCCTGAGGGAAGAGTCATAGAGAGACAGAGCAGGCTGGGCCAAGAGTTCCTACTCCTGGGTCAGCCCTGGCACACTCATCTGGATCTTTCTTCTGTGATAGATTTCCATGTGAGATTTCACTAGGAGCGTGCTGATCTGGGCTCATTCTATAGCCCCACGAGCTACTGACAGATGCCCCCCTTGGCCCACAATGCCAATTTCTCCATGTCTTCTGGGTCCCAAAAGACTTAGAATTCACTATTTGAAAACAAACCAAACACCACATGCCCCCAGCTTCAGCTACAAGTCTCCGCCCCGTTGAAAACTAAACCTATCAAAGTTCTTTCAAGCAGCATCTCCACTCCCTGCCACTTGTTTTCTGTTCATCCCACCCAGGAAAGAACTCCCTGGCCTGGATCCTCCCTCGGCACAGCTACCCCACCCACCATCCACCCACTGACACTCTCCCTCTGGCTTTATCTCCTGGCACTCTTGTGGTACTGGCCACACCCACTGAGCCTCCCCACAGGACCTGCTTCCAGTACCTGGAGCTCCCCACAGGCTGCCACTGGATACAGGCCTGGATACTCCCCATCTAACCCTCTCACTGACTGATCCCATCTGGTCCTCTGGCCTCGGAATTCATTCTGTTTCTTTGTCAACTCCTGTCTGTTCCCCTGAGCTACAGACTCATATATTACTGGGCACGGCCACTGTAACATTCCCATCTGGAGGCCAAACATTCCCAAACCCAACCTCAGTCCCCAGGACCAGCCCTCCTCAGCCTTCCCCTCTCTCTCACTCATCTACCTGTTGACCCATCTTGCAAATGTTTCTGAACCACCACAGGATCCAGGCACTCTTCTAGAAGCTTGTGGACATGGCACTGACCCAGACAGACCACTAACTTCCTGGGCTCAGAACTCCATGACCCACCAGCAGTCCAGCCAGACTGGACATCTCACGTGGTCCCTCTCTTGTCCTGTCCAGCCTGTACCCTGCCTCTTATATCTAATTCACAGACATGTCCTGTGAGCGCTACTTTAAATATTTCCCAGAAACATCCACATGCCCCCAGGGCAAGCTGCCAGAACCTCCTCTTGGCCTCTGTACAGCCTGCTCACTAGCCTGTAGCTGCTTTGCCTCCCACCCTGACCCAAACCAAGGGTCATCAAACATTTTCTGCAGAGGCTAGATGGGAACTATTCCCAACTTGGGCCTTGTGGTCTTTGTTGCTGTTCCAGTCTGTGACATGAAAAATTCCAGAAGGGCTGACCAACCCAAGTAGCAACATCTGTCCTGGTTTCACACCAAAGTGGATGTGTGGCTGCCTCTGACCCTCAGTGCTGCCAGCAGAGTCTCCTGAGATGATGGCAGTGTTGCCTCCCTGTCCACAGAGTGGCCACTAGTCACTTCTGGCCACTAAGCACTAAACAAGTAAAAGGGGAGCTGGAAAGGTCACTTTGTCTTAATTTATTTAAACAGCCCTGTGGCTAGTGATGCCTGCACTGGACAGAAGAGTTCTGGACTTCCTGGAGCGAGCTGATGGTGATGGTGTCCTCAGCCAGAGAGACTATGGGGTGATGGGTGAGTTTCTGAGGACTGTACCCCACTCATCCAAGATGGGACTGGGAGTCCCCCATCCTCCACCCTGGCAGCTGTGGGACCCAACACACCAGCAATGCTGAAAATTCCTCCTCCAGAGTCTCTCCACCAAACTGACCTCACCCCCTTGGCCTGCGGATGCCTCTCTGGGCAGGACACCATGATTTCCACATCTCCTCTCTTGATGCTGCTCCACTGCCCTTCACATCTCCTGGGAGTACAGGGCCACCTCTGTATTCCAGAATTGTGTCAAAATCAAAATTTCAACCTTTGTTAAAGTCTCAGCTGCTGCATCAAATTTTTAGAAGTTGGAAGATGACATCAGCTCTGCATGCTCCCTATGGTTGGAGACCCACCCATAAAGCCATCCCTGTCCTGCCCCAACCAGCAGGGGCTGCCTCTCACCGACTGAAGGCTCTACCAGAGACCCCTATGTCATACAAACCCCAGGGTAGGGGTCTGAGCTGGAAGCAGAAGGCCCAGAGGTCAGCCAGCCACACACTCACAACTCAACACAACTCTTTGCTAAACATGCCACATACACACTT